GCTCGCGCTGGTCTGCCTTCGACATGTCGGGGCTCACTGCTCACCCCGCAGAACCGAACGAGGGTGATCAAGGAGAGCAGAAGCTGGCACGACTGTGATCTTTCACCCCTGGCTTCCCCTCTCCTGGCCTTCCCTGTTCTCCTCGGCTCCGGTAGGCGTGGGCGTGGGCGAGGGCGAGGGCTGTGAGCGCCGCCCCCCAGGGAGGCGAAGGGCCTGTCCAGGCTGCCAGTCTGGAACTTCGGCCGCTCTGGGTGCCGGAGAGCGAAGGTAGTTGCAGGCTTCGGCCCGGAAGGGCTGGTGCAGACCCCTCCTTCTGACGGTGGGGTCCCAGAAACGCAGAGAGGGTCAGCGACTTGTCCAAGGGCACGCGTTGCTTCAGGAGTTAACCCTTCCCGTGGTCTTCGTGCGGTTTCGCCCTCCACGGTCGTCCTGTTTCCAAAGAGGCGATTCTGTCTCAGCAGGAGGTGGAATGTCCTGGAAGACAGGGACTGTCACTCCACAGAACTGCCGAAGAGATGGAAGCAGCCTCCTGGTTCCTTTCTGGAGCCGGAGCATCCACAGGGACCACAGGGACCGCAGCCTCTGGGACTGCCCGTGGCCTGGCTGTGCCAGCTCCAGGCCTGGGGCCAGGCGGGCGGCCAAGCCCATCTGTGGGCCCAGCAGCCGGGGCCGGCACCAGGGAGGAGGGAGGCCGAGGCAGTTGGAGCTGAGGCCGGAGGGGAAGGGCCGCGGCTGGGCTGGTCCAGCGTCCCCCGAGTGGTTGCTGTCCTCGGCTCTCAGGTAACGCCAAGCTGCAGCGGAGTCTGGAGGCAGCTTCCTGGGGCTTCTCGTCTTTGTCTTATTCTCCTTCCTGCCTTTCCTTCCTCCCCACCCCTTCTGTCCCTGGCTCCAACTCGTTTATGCCACTTAGCTGAAGCAGGGGAGCAGAGCCACTTACTGTGGGAACAGAGCGCTGCTGCGGGCACCTTGGGGTCCTGCACCCTTGCCCCGCCCCCTGCAGAGCTGGACTGGGTGCTGCAAAGGGCACCGTCCTAGGAGGATGGAGGCGGACTCCACCGCCGTCTGCGATACTGGCTCCCGACTGCGGCCGTCACGGGGGCAGCGCTTGCCCAGCTCTTCCTGTGGGCCAGGAATTGGGCAGAGTGGCGTCTACTCCACCCACCGTCCTTGAGGTCCAGCTGCCCCCGTTTAAAGTGACCTGCTGGCAGTCACAGAGTTGGTGCCGTCACGGGGATTCAGGTCCAGGATTTTCTGCCCCCAGGGCGTGTGCCCCCCGTTCCCCACCCGCTGCCCTCCCTCAGGGCTCCCGGCCTCGCCTGCTGCCCTTCCTTTTCCTGGGGGCCGCGGTGGCGAATTCACAGAGCCGCGTTTACGCACGTGTGGTACCGTGTGCTGACAGGCGGAGCGGCATGTGTTGCCTGCGTGCCGTGCCCCTGGCAATTGGCTCTGGGCGCCACGGTGTGCTGAGTGGCACACGGGCATAGGATGCCCAGCGATCCGAAGCGTCCGGCGGGCGCAGCCGGTACCAGGCTTGATGTTTGCAGGATCCGTCGCCGGGAAGTCCTGTAGAACACACGCCAGTGGCTCTGGGCAGCGGTGCGTTTGCGCAGGGCCAGGGCCGAGACTCCAGACTGTGTTTGAACAGGAGCCAAGTGCACAAGGTGAAGCCGGGCTGGGCGTCCGGGCCGGGCCTGGGGGCGCGGGGGCTTGGGTCCCCTTGTTCAGATGGGGCCGGCCCGGTACCACTGGGCTGTCCATAGCTGTTGTCTCGGGTGTTTGCTGGGAGGCTGGGGCACTGCGTGCCAGGTACCCTTCATCTGCATCTGCCATCTGGGTCCGTACAGCCGTGGCTCCGACACCGTTTTGCAGGTCGAGGAAATTCTGGTCTTGCTCCAGGCCAGACAGCTAGAGCCGGGCTTTGGCTTCAGCTGGAGCTCTGGAACAGGCTGGTGGGCTGGGACGTCACCGCCACCGCCATAGGCCCCCGCCCCTGGGGGGCTCAGCCCAGGGAAGTCTGTGCCACCTGGGTCGCCGTGGCAGGGCTCACCACGGGGGTCACCGTTCTTGAGCCCTGGGCACAGATGAGCCATCGTTTCCTCTGCGGTGGTGACACCCCCGAGGTTGGGACCCATCTGTCGTTAACCTCTCCCTCGGTGCAGCAGTCCAGCCTCGAGGTGAAGGTCATGGTCTCGAGCCAGACACCAGCTGTGGGCTGCGTGACCTCGGGCGATTCACTTTGCGCCTCAGTTTCCCTGCCCTCTGAGCGGAGTCGTCGTGAAGATGTGAGTTTAATGTCCACGAAGCGCTCAGCATAGTGCCTGGCCCAGCAGCGAGTGTTCAATAATTGATAACTGCTATTATTAGCTATTAGCTAACAGCCAGTGCATCCGGGGAGACTTTCAGCTTGCAAGCGGCCAGCCCCGGGCTGGAGCCAGAGGCGCACACGAAAGAAGGGCACCCACTGAGCAGCGGGGCGCGGGGCTGGCCTCGCCGTCCGGTCTGGAGCCCTGTCCTCCTGGCCTGAGCCTGCCACTCGCCGCACAGCGGGTGTGAGGGCATTTCAGAGAAAGGGGACGTGAGCTTCTGGCACTTGCTGAGTGATCATCTGTCTGACCCGACGTTCCTCCTTCTCATCCGCTGGGCATGTTAACAGCCCTCGGTGTCAGCCGGTTCTGCAGTGTTGGGTCATCAGAAGATGTCGTCACATGGTGGGCTGGCCGGGCTGCTGGGGTCCGGGCCTCTTCGGGAGGCCCATCTGTCCCACCCCTGCCTGAAGGCCTTGGCGCCAGAGTCTGGAGGAGACTGGGACAGTGGAGCATCCGTTGGGGGGTGGGTGGCCTGAGGTAGGTGGGTCGCACAGAGGCCAGGAAGTCCTCTTACCTGCCAGGTGCCGGGGCCTCCGGCAGCCGCAGGAGCCGAGCAGCAAACCGTGGTGAGTCAGCGGGCCTGGGGGTCGAGCTGCCAGCCTGCGAGCATGTGGCTTTGTGTGAGCTGGGCCTTTTGTTTCCTCGGCAGTCAGGCCTGCAGAAACAAATCTGGAAGCCAGACCCTCCACATGGTACAGGCCTGCTGCTTCGGAGATAATTCAGCTCAGGCAGTTGCTTTCCTTGTGTGCGGGTCCTCCAAGGATTAACCCTTTGCCTTTTAAGGTTTTAATAGGCTGTGCTTGTCCGACTAGCTGTACTCCTGAAGCCTAAAAGGACTTAAAAATCCTTGCGCAGGTCTGCCATTTTCCAAAGCAAACACCGCTGGCAGGGCTTTCAGTGTGTTTCTGGAGCCGAGTGAAACTGCACGCCTTCTGAGGGCACACGTGGACATGTCCCTGTCGTGTGTTCTCCTTGGGGTGGAGAACGGCCCACACCCTGACACGACGAGTCTCCGGTCCCGACAGGAACGATTCTTCGCTTTAAACCTGTACCCTCAGAGCTCGCCCTTAGAATTCCCTTGAAGAGAACCCCGACTACATCCGGGAACTATTTGGAGGAGTAGAGGTTACAGCACCAGCCTTCACGGAAAGCGCCTCTGCCCCATGGCCCGTCTCGTACGAGCTCTGAACTTGGATCCTGAAGGTCCACGAAAGCTCCCCAGGGCCGGGGAGGCATGCGGTCTGCTTTCCCTGTTGCACGTGTGGCTCCCGGTCTGAGTTTCCATGAACGTTTTAATTTCAGTGGCTGCAGTTGATGTAGCAGGTGGCAGATTTTACAAGTGCAAATGCTACTTGACTTACAAAGGGTTACGTCCCGATAAACCCATCGTAAGTTGAAAATATCATAAGTCCGAAAATGCTTTTAGTACACCCAACCTACTGAACACCATAGCTTAGCTTGCCTTAAATGTGCTCAGAACACTTACATTAGCCTACGAAATCCTCTAACACAGAGCCCATTTTATTAGAGTCTGTCTCAGTTTATTATGTGTATCACTTCTGCATCATCGTGAGGCTGAAAAAGTGTAAGTTGGGGACCACCTGTGATGAATTGTAAACGGATATTCTAGTGGACTGGTTGGATGTAAGTTTGAGTCCTGAGCAGACAGGGTTTTCAGAGAAGTCACTTCACCCCTGGCCCAGGAAGTTCTAGCAATTCTTTAAAAGGCACGTTTTAATTACATAAGTACTAAAACCACCATGATGCGTTTGCTACGTATCGGTGCAGACTTTTCTTTTTCATGTGGCGATTGTCCTACATTTAGAGGTTGTGTTCGGGTAAATCAGGACTTTTCTGAAGGTGGAGACCAATCCGGAGGACCGAGCCTGCAGGCCTATCGGAGATCACCTCCAGGGTGAACTTGGCCTGCATTCTCCACACTGCCTCGCAGAGGACCTAATGCGAGCCGTTCGGGCACCAGGAGCCTTGGGGTGGACCAGGGGCTTGGTGGACGGCTCCCGTGGGGGGAGAAAGGACATTTCACGGCCTGCAGAGGAGAGTCCCAGAAAGGAATTTGAAGAGGTTGGAGACAAGTTTGACGTGGCCCTTCGGCTGGGACTCTGCTTGTAGTCCTGGCTGGGACCCCGTTCCCCGTCTACGGGCCGCTGGGAAACTAGCTGTCTTGGCCGTGGCCACCCCTTCTCCCTACTCGTTCTGCTTAAGAAAATCGGAGAATTTTGACTTCAGAGCCTAGAGAATGAACCTTTTATTTGTACCTTCTGGCTTCACTCAGGTCAAGGAACTTATGGGATGGCAAGTTGGCCAGACAGGTTTCCTCTGGAATATTTCTGGCAAAACTCTAGTCCTCCTTGATGCGTTCTGCATATGAATCAGCCTCTGGAACCGATGTTACCTTAAGAACTTTAGGAATTTTCCTTACTGGTTCTCCATATGTGCTCTGGCCACTGCATTGCCAAAGTGAACATACAGAGCTCGCTCACGAGGGAGGTGGCAATGAACTCGGGGTGTCGCTCCTGGTTTATGGGGTGCCGCTGAGTGCCGGCTGGTCCCTAGAGCGGCACTGCGTACCTCATCTCCCTGTCCAGTGGTGACTGCTCTCTCATTTCTTTCCAGGTCGGCTTGCTCCTCTGGCTGATGGCATGTTGAGGTTCAAGGGCCAGTGGCAGCGAGGGCATCCGGTCCAGAGGGGGCCACTCTAGAGGCCAGGCCACCAGCACCATGGGCCAGTGTGTCACCAAGTGCAAGAATCCCTCATCGACCCTGGGCAGCAAGAATGGAGACCGCGACCCCAGCAGCAAGTCACACAGCAGGCGAGGTGCCGGCCACCGTGAGGAACAGCTGCCAGCCTGTGGCAAGCCAGGTGGGGACATCCTCGTCAACGGGACCAAGAAGGCAGAGGCCGCCACCGACGCCTGCCAGCTGCCCACGTCTTCGGGCGACGCGGGGCGCGAGCCCAGGCCCGGCGCCGAGGAGTCCTCCTCGCAGAGGCTGGAGGAGCTGTTCGGGCGGTACCGGGACGAGCGTGAGGACGCCATCCTGGAGGAGGGCATGGAGCGCTTCTGCGGCGACCTGTGCGTCGACCCCACGGAGTTCCGGGTGCTGCTCCTGGCCTGGAAGTTCCAGGCCGCCACCATGTGCAAGTTCACCAGGTCAGTCCCGACGCCTGCCGGGCAGCGCCGCTGGGGCGGGCCCGGGGCGGCCCCTCGGGGCTCGGGTAAGTCTCTTCCTCGTTCGCCGACCCGTGTCTGTAAAGCTGCGCAGGCCGAACCCCCGGGCGCCACCGTCTTCGCCCGCGCTGAGCGGGGAACGGCCCGCGCTGGGCCCCGTCGCCAGGCTGCTGCCCGGCCCCATTGCCTGCCACTCACCTGCCTCCGCCGCACCCGTCACGTGGCAGGTGCTGTGACTGCCCCGGGCATGCCTCCGTCACCGCGTGAGGCCAGGTGCCCCTGCGGGCCCTTCACACCTTGCCCTCAGGCACGTGTGCCGATAGGGACAGTGCGTCGTCGTGGCCGTGCGTCCCTGGAGAGGTGGTCTGTGGGGGGCGTGGCAGGTCACCCCACGGTGTGCCGTGCAGAGTGCTGGGTGATGAGGGAGGGACTGAGACGCGGCCCCCGGCTGGGGTCCTGGCAGGCCTCACGTGCCCGGTGTGGTCAGCGGATACAGCCGCCTCTGAGGCGATCAGGGTGAGACCGTGTGGCCGGCAGACACGACGTCTGCTCTTCAGCCACAGAACTCTGATCCCTGGTGGCAGGTACCCAGGTCCATCCAGAACCTTCCTGCTCCAGACGTCTCCCTTGGCAGTCACCAAAAAACATTCCAAAAACAGACACCCCATAGAGAACGAGAAGGAAGCAGGAAGAGCCCCTGTCCCAGAGGAGAGCCCGCAGCTCAGCTGAGTGGCGCGGAGAGGCGGGGCTGGCTTCGGGAAGACGGAGGAAGGGCGCACAAGCCACTGCCAGCTGCCCGCCGCGTGCCAGGCCCTGTTAGGAGCAGCCGGCACACAGGCCGCAGCACGACCCTGCGGCGGGGAGGTGGGCACACCGTGGACGGGGGGAGGACAGGGCTCCTTAGCGGAGGAGCTGCGCCCCAGAGCTGCCTGCCCGCCGCCGCGCCGTCCTGCCCCCCAGGAAGTGCTGCTCGCGTTCGGTGACTGACTGTGCCCCTCCTTCCTGTTGCAGGAAGGAGTTTTTTGATGGCTGCAAAGCAATAAGCGCAGACAGCATTGACGGGATCTGCGCACGGTTCCCCAGCCTCTTAACAGAAGCCAAACAAGAGGACAAATTCAAGGATCTCTACCGGTTTACATTTCAGTTCGGCCTGGACTCTGAAGAGGGGCAGCGGTCACTGCATCGGGAAATAGCCATCGCCCTGTGGAAACTAGTCTTCACCCAGAACAATCCTCCGGTGTTGGACCAGTGGCTAAACTTCCTGACAGAGAACCCCTCGGGGGTCAAGGGCATCTCCCGGGACACGTGGAACATGTTCCTTAACTTCACTCAGGTGATCGGCCCCGACCTCAGCAACTACAGCGAGGACGAGGCCTGGCCCAGCCTCTTCGACACCTTTGTGGAGTGGGAGATGGAGCGGAGGAGCCGGGACCTCGGGGCCGGCGGGGGGCGGGGCGCGCTCAGCTCAGGGCCCGAGGGCTTGTGCCCCGAGCAGCAGACCTAGCGGCACCGGCCGGCGAGGATCGGACCTTTATGGAAATTACTGAAGATCCGGATATTTTCTACTTTACACCTTTCTCTGCCTTGTATCTGAAAGGGCTCTAAAATGCTGTATCATGTTTTAGGCACTTTCTTCACTTTTCGGTTATTTTGGTTATTTCTTTTTTTGGCGGGGGGATCCCCCCGAATAGTTGAACCTGGTTACATGTTGTGTATCTTTCTTCTGAAGCCTCCAGATAGAATAAGCCTGCCACTTCTTGCACACGTTAGAGTTTCGTTTCGGTGGGGGAGGGCGGAGCGGGGCGGGGGCGGGGCTGCGAGGTTGGGCCCCCATCGCGATGCTGCGGCGCCGGGTCCCAGTGTCGCGTAGTGTTTTCAGGGCGGGCGTGCACTGCGTGTGGTGCTGTTTACATGGTTGAATTTAGGTTGCGATAATTCTTTTTAAAGATTTGCAGAGTCGGCGAGCAGTGGTCACCGTCCGCCACGTGGCATTGACTCCCAGGCGGGCGGAAGATGCTGGGGAGCCGAGGCCGCCGGCAGTGCGCGTCGCCTGGCGACAGCCCCCTTTCACGCTGGTGCGTCCGAAGCCCTCACGGTCCTCACTTCTCGCTCACGCCTTCTTTCACCCATTGCATTGCATGTCGAGTTTATCCATCGACGAGCTGCACCCGTCAGTCAAGTGAGCAGTTTTCTAGGACGTTGTCCTAACAACCACTTAAGCTTCGAATGCAGAGAAAGCAGTGCTACCTCAGTTTCGCTGGAAGTAGACTTTGAAAGTTTTCTTTCTTTGATGAATTTTCTGTATTTTCATGTTGTAAGTGGAAATACTTTTTTTTTTTTTTCCCTCTTCCTTTTTCATTTGCCTCGGAGCCAAAGTTTCTGTTCCTGGTGGTCGGAAACCTGTGCCCGCCGGCCAGCAGACTTGAAAGAAAACTGTGGTGTGGAGCTCTGCTTGAATTTTTTTCCTTCTTTAAAGTTTCTTTTCGAGCATCGTCAGCTTCCTTGTCTGGCAGGTGCAGAAGCCTGGGGCCGGCCTGAACTCTGCCAAACACACACAGACGAGCACGTCAGAGCGAAGCTGCGCCCGCTGCCTTCTCGCTGCCCCCATGCCGTCACGTGACCCCTCGGAGTTATTTATTACCTTCGTTAGCGTCAGGCTCATCCGGGGTAACGTGATGGCGGTTTAGGTTTACATGACCCTCTCCCCCTTCCCCACCCCTCCCCCGAATATGTATATAT